TTTTTCGGCGCAAAAAGTTCTGTGATGCCTTTAAATGTTGGTTGAAAAAAGGGTCTTGAACACAATGGCCCCAAAACGCATGCCATAACTTAGTGTTGGAATGAAAATCTGTTGGGCTAAGGCCTATTGGAAGAATTCTAGCACAACCTTATTAATTGGCTCGAGTTGCTGCCATGCCTGTGTGATCAAGAACCCACTCTCCATCTTCAAGGTCACACGGATCTTGCCCTGAGTAGCTGCAACAAGTTCAAACGACACGGTCTCCACGTTCACCGGTGTGCACAGCAGCCGGCCCGCGGCTTTGGCAGCAGAACCTTAGAACGGTAGCTCGCTTCAATCAAAAACACTATCGACTTGCGCCTGGAGCCACGAAAAAAGGATTGAACTCAAAAGCTTGGACTCTATAAGTTGCAATTGGGGGTTCAATGAGAAACACCATAGCCATCTATAACACTGGGAGCTTCTGCCAAAAGATTCACTGCAGGCAAAGCAACGTTGAATCAGCAGTCCCCTCCGCTGCTCATGTGATACGTGAGCCACCTTTGTATACTTGACGGAACAGTAACCTCCCCGGGACACATAGAACTCATCTGGCGGATTGTTCTCATCCTCATGCAAGCGGTGCATCACCCGATCTGAAGATTCCTGCCCCATCAAAGACCATTCCCTTGGTTCACCAAGCATGAGCGCAACGTCCTCGGAGCTCATAGATGGGCTGATCGCTTTGAACTGAACGCGAGGCATGGCCATCCTGACTAGCGCAAACCGGGCCCCAAAGCTCGAGGCAAGAGTTTTTACTGCCGCTGATCTCAGGAAGAGCTGCTTGTGCCAAAGTGTCTGAACCGCCGCTGAAGATGTATATCACTTTGCGCCAACGCAATACAATGAAAAGTAACATAGCGTTACGATGGGGCCTCACGTTGAAATGCATCCAAACAAAATGCAATGAAGCGGCCAAACAACTATTAACTTGTCTATGACTCTGACCATGGAGTGGGGGGGTTGTCCACAGGAAGCGGCTGAGTGTCTTGTTTTTAGTTTTTTCAACATGTTGAATGTGTCTTGGCAAACCTCTTAGTTTCAGCGCTCTGAATTCCCTTTTTCTCACAGCGTGGCAGTCGTCCATTTTGGTATTGAATGACTGATTCCCGCGCGGTTACCTTTTGAACCGTTTGCGAAAGTAATCTTGATACTGCCCGCCGCGCTTTCTATTCCATCCCGTGTTCCTCTTTGCAAGTTGTCTCTTTGAAACAACTTGTTGCCAGGGATGCCATTGACTCCAGCATTTGGGCTCCGGCAGCTCTCGAGAGCCCGACGACATCGCAGATGGTTTCCAAGGCTCGCACCATTCGCAAGCCTCTTCGTCACCATGTTCTTCACTCCAGTCCCAGGGTTCTTCCCAAAGGTCGTCGTCGCCAACCCACTGATCCCAAGGCTCACAGTCATTCTCCATGGGCCAGCCCATCGAAGATTCAGCCTAAAATCACACGCAGAGCAGACATCACATGTCATGTTTAAAATGCGGCGGTGTGTCCTTTAGACTTCTCTTGGTACATTGAAGAGGCCTTTGCACAGCCCTAGCGCACAAGAAAACCGTAGAGTGGAAACGCGTTAAACCTAAAACGGGTCCTTCTTATTCATAAAAAAAGGAGGACCCTTTTCAGAGGACATGGCAGTTGACAAGGACTTGGCAAGAAACACCTGCTTCTGGTCGGTCTGGCTTGGCCGCCTCGACTGCAGTGGGTGAGCTTGCATTCGAAGCTGGAGATGGCTCCTTGCTCACAGGAAAAATTGCAAACATGGTGACCCCTTCGAAGTAAAATCCAAAACCGAGCCCCGAGTAAAATGGAAAGTTGAAAACAACAAATCTGTGCCTTGATGAAAACGGCTTGAGCCATTTTTCAGAGCCTGATTTTTTGAGGCTTTTTAAGATGTCAAAACAGGGTTTGAGGACACCTTCTGTTGAACCCAAAGTGGAAGCCCATATCATCCTAAGCCTATTGCGCACGATATTAATTATGTGTTGTTCTCCAGCTAGGGCAGTCAAAATCAAAACTGTTAAACACTCAGCCAGAACACACGCAGGGGCGGTTGCGCAGACTGTGGCTCTATCTCGGGTTCAGTTTCATTTGTGTCAGCGTCAGATAGCTCCACTACGCCAGCATCTCGGCCCGTGGCCGCACCAACACTTTCAGGCTGAGCGACGGCATCTGGAACAACACTCTCCTGGTCACCACACAGCTCACCGCATGGAACAGGTTGGCCACAACTATCGAGCTGTGGAGTGGAAGAAGAAGTTTCTTGGCCACCATCAGGCTGAGCAATTGAAGGAGCAGGTGCGCGTGAGGGACCAGTTTCTGGGCAATCCCCTGGACAAAGAAGGTCCTTGTGGCCGCTTTTTTGGTATCGACGCGCGTCGGTTTCCAGGGCGCGTCATCAAACGCATTCGAACGCGTTGTTGGCCCTAGGCCGTTAGTCGTCGACTAGGAGCGGTAAAAAGCCACTGAAGCGGCCTAAAGCCGCTGACTATAGCAAATAAGGGCCGCACTAAAGTGTCGCGGGGTGTGAATTTGCAGGCTACCGCTAGTTGCACAAGAGTAGAAAAACGAATCATGTCTCAGCTAAATGGGAAATTGATAGCTCAAACTAAAAAGATTCCATGAGGCCACCGTTTTTCTGGCTTTGGGTCCGCGCGCGCGCGCGCCTCCGACAGCCGTTTTTAGAGCCCGGGGAGGCGCGCGCGCGCGCGCGCGGACCCAAACTTCCAAAACGGTGACCTTTAGCTCAAACACTCTTGACAGTCATGGGCGGGGAACATCAGCTGCAGCATGAACTGGTTCGGTGTGTTGTGGGCTGACACGCAGTTGATCTACGGTGTCCTGACAAGTTTGGTTTTCATGACTTGCGCAACCTGTCTGAGTGCTTGAAAAAATGCCAAATAACTGGCCTCCTCCGTCAGATCTCCAGCATCCTCAGTCATTCAGGCGTGGTTCCACACTCACAATGAACACGTAACATGCCAGACAAACGGTCACGCACTCATCTCACCAAGCCTGCAGACGTGGATCTTGAAAGAGCAGCGGTGCTCGGCGGACTCTCGCCTGGCAAGGAAAGCAACAAAAGGATACCCGCTGCGCGCGTCCACATGACATGCCTTGACTTGACAATCTCTTCCCTGCAAGCCTTCAAAACAATCAGGCTGTTGTCGTTGACAGCCTCGGCTACAAAATGGAAGGAGACCCATTGAAGCTTCTTTGTCATGCTTTGACTCCTGCAGGTTACAATTAATGAAGACCCTGCTAAACCAGCTTGCTTAAACTTAGATGAGAAACACGCCGTACGGGTTTGCTCTTTGCTTTGCAGCGTGCGCCGGGAACCATGGCGTCAGGCAGAATCATGACGTCAGGCCACAAACAGGACCAATGAATTGGAAAAGGGTTTGCCTTCGAAAGCCTTCTGACTGACATGCCAACTGTTACACTGAAATCCTGGCCTGGCCGCGTGAGAAAGACTTTAGATCAGAAGCTATGCCAAAAAGCAACTGCAGAAGAAACATGTGAACGCCCTGTACACTCTAGACTCTAGATTAGAGCGGCTTAAAGCCGCTGACATCCCCCAAATGCTCCACCTACCAAATATACTTTCCACCTACCAAATATACTTGTCATTGCGGGTCTAACAATTTCTCGCGGCAAGCGGAGGAAAATGCATGGCGGCATAGCGGTCCTAAAGCATCATCTGCTACCACGTTCCTCCTTGAAGGCGTCCTCTGCAATCTTCAAGGATGCCTCCCATGACAAGCCACCAGAGCTCCACAAATTAGCGGCCACCCTGTACTTCTCGGCCAGTGTCCATCGCTTACGAAAATCCAAAAGATTCTGGACGGGCAATGGCTCGTGCGCTAACTCCATGACATTGGGCGCCTTGACAAACAAAGAAAAGCTGGTTTGGACCTGCACTGGAAGGATGCGAAAGCAAGATCAGACAAACTAACATGTGAACACCTTCATTTAAACCAAGAAGCTGCCCCGAAGTCCTGCCCCTGCGCTGGAAGAGCAGGCCGCCCTCCACCAACAGCTGGGCCGTGGAAAAAGAGGTTCCCAATGTTCAGGTGAGGTCCTTTCTGCCATGAACGGTTGGCAACCTTGTACAAATAGGCCGCTGCTTTGAACATGAGATACGGCGGCTCACCTGCACAAAGCACGCAGGAGTGACAAATCGCAAACAAGGTCCGGAGCACAGAAGAACTGCAAAAAGACGGCAATTGGTGTCAAAACTCCTTTGGTCAAGGCGCGCATTCTGTCAGCATACATCTTCAGTTTCTGCGCGTCAGCCGATTGGTCATCTGTTCTGAAGACTCTGTCTGGGCTCGCAACTCAGTAACGCAAATGTCACGAAATTGAAAAACACAATGCGAAGAAACACCGAACAGGCTCTCACAAAACCTCGTGACACGGTGACGCACACTCGCGCCAAGTGGCTGTCAGGAACCATTTGCATGACATCCCGTATCCTGCCATGTGGCAAAAATAAAATCTTCGGCTCGCGGAACCCCTCATCTGAGAGGTTGTGCTTCATCCTGAATCAAAAACCCGCGCAATGCGGGGCAAACTTCCACATCGCTTGTGACAACTTCCACACAGCACTTCACACTTACTCTCGCAACTTAACCTCCAACTTTACGTGATCTTGGGCCAAGAATCTTCAAAATCACATCGCCATCATCAGGTTGCAAAAATCCGCGCCGCCTCCAAAAGCGGCTGTTCACCTCCTCAACGGACAGACCTCCACGCAAATGGCCAAGGTTGAATGGGATGTCAACAGACTCGCTGTCAGTCTCTTGACAAGTTGAAGTAAGATTTAATTCAATCTGCCTCGCCTGCGTCGGATCTTCTCTGGAAGAGGAAATGGTGAGGCGCTCCCGGCCCCCCAATGCCACGTAGCTGCGCATTCTCGAACAACAAATGCAAATGCGAGCGCCAGTTGCGAGAACCATTCACTTTATACACTTTCTTGAAGGCCTCATTTGGGCGCAAACCAGGACTCCGCAACCAATCTGCAACGCTCCTGACATAGTCTTCTGCGTCGTGAAGTTCCTGTTGACGCTGTATCCAAGCACAAAGGACGCTGAATGTCGCATCGATGTCCTCATGGCTGTGTCCAGCCATGAGCGTGGACACAGCCCCACTGCGAATCCGATGCGCTGCTGTTAGACCTGCCAATAGGCGGAGGCAACTGTTGTTTTTGAGCTCCTTCGAACTGTTGTCTCCATGGACCTCCACATGGAATTTGCGGAGGTCCAGGGAGAACTGGCTGACAACAGTGCTCAGGGCGTGACATAGCAGATCGCAGCTCCAACTGCTGTCATGCACCACATTGGGTTCAGATATGTATACGAAAAGGCCATATCCGTGGCAAATTATCGCAGTCGTACTCAGAGTCGGCCGGATGAAGTTGCTGAAACACTTGGCCTGAGTGGCCAAGCTCCTGGGAAGCATGAACTTGGAATGATCAACCGAATCAATAATTAGCGTTAATCTGGCACTTCCATCTGGCAACGGGCCCTGTATGGACTCACTTCTGTTCTTCCAATACCGACAGCGGTCTTTGTATTGCGTTTGTAAATGCCCTCTGAAATATTCCATTTGCGCTCGGCGCGCTATAGGTTTTTTTGCTAACCGTTTCAACACCAAGCGGTGTCTCACGCATTGCCCACATTTCCCGTGCTGGGACTTGTTGCGTATGAGCAAGTGCGGAAACGTCTCTTCCCACACAAGGCAAAATTGTCTTCGGTTCACCCGCCGGCCCAACTCAAGGGAACAGAGCTCACAGTAGCCATTGATGGTGTTTGGCGGCAAAAATTTCAATTTCCTCCCTTTCAGGTCTTGGGGGAGAAAGCCTTGTCTCCGCCGGTGTCTTGGTTTTTTCCCCCGAAGTTTGATCTTGGGGTTCTTCAAGAAAGTTTCCTCGACCATCATGGTGGGCGCTTCTGGCAAAGGTTCCGCAGCTGTGTTGTACATCTTCTGGAGCCACTCGACAATGTGAGGTCTGGCGGAATCTGGCCTCAACAAGCCTGTGGGGGAAAACGTCAACATCTCAACTGGGCATGATTCTAGCCGGGCTGAAAACCCATCCACTTCCCACCCAGCCTTCTTTTGGAAGACACCGCTGGTCCATGGGACACCCTTCATCTTTTAGGGCGGCTCTCCGGAGTCTGCCAAAACGGTGCTTGCCTATGCCGTACAGCAAACGAAAACTCCGCTGGCATACTGGGTGGCCATCGATTTCGAGGCTATATCTCTCGCGGGAACCACTGCGTTGAAGCAAATGGTAAACCTTAGCAACAGACGTTTCACGCCATCCATTTGCAAGAACCAAAGCCACATGTACGTAGCACTCATAAAAAAACAACAACACCAAAAGCTGACACTGGATCAGCTGAACAACCTCCGTGTCGGACTCATGCTTTGGAAGGTCGCGCAGTCGCAGCCGACTCTGGAATAAAGCATGCAACTTGCCATGATCATTCCGCCAAGGGTCTCTGCAGCTAGAATCCTTGCATTTGCAATTCGTAAGAACCACCTGCCGAAGCCTTTTGAAAACCGCCTCAACCTCATCCACTCTCTGCTGGGCAGAATCCTGCTTGACTTTTCTTTTGCGAGCATGCTTGGCAGCCTTGTCAGGCAGAGATGCAGCATCTGCCGCAACAACTTCTGAAGAAATGGGACGAGCTTCGTCATCTGACAGGCAATCGATATCAGGCGGCAGTCCGTTCGGCATCAGACTCCCTGCTGGGCACAGGCTCAGAATCTATGGGACTGAAACAACAACCCAAGAAACATTCATTGTCATATGGCTTGAATGACTTTGCCAACAACTTCAACAAAGTTGCAAACAAACCCCACCTTCAGAACTGGATCTGCTGTGGCTGGCGTGGACTCATGACGCGCTCACACCCGACTAGCGAACACGCACCAAAACATGGCGCAGGGATGGGGTGGGAGCAAATCTGACAGAACATGCCATGGGGCAAACCTACCGATTGGCAAACATACACACTTAACATGAGAATTTTGCACATGGATGAGCCCTGACAACAACCATCATTGGCAACTGCGAGCCAATACCTCCAAAGCACCACAGGTTTCAAAGGAAACCCTCAAAATGGAACAGCCAAAGTGGCTAGAAACTAGAGCGGCTCGGCGCGGCGGCTTCGAGACGAAGGTCCTACGGAGCGGCTTCATGCCGCTGAACGGTTTGAGATCCAAAAAAAAGCGCAGGGAGCAGTTTTTTCCTCAGAGTTTCCAACTTTGTCCCCTAAATATCTCCGGAGCGCTCATCCAAGTGTTTGGCAGCAACCTTGCGCCTCTTCTCCATCTGACCGATGAGCTCCACGGACACGGCGTCGCAATTGCAATCCTTGCAGATGATTTTCAACTGGCCAATATCTGTCCTCAGGGGATTGAAAACATCTAAGCCCAACCTGGAGATATCTTGCCATTCAGAAACTACCAAGTTTTTGCGACTTCCAATGTGTATTTTGTCAGACAAGGCACGCGCGCAGCCACTCATGCAAGCACTCGCGCCAACAAGAGAGGCAGAGCCTCTCGCACCCTAAAATTTCCAGACATTCCTGGATCTCTGACTTGCGCTTTGAAGCCATGGTGCAAACAAATTTTGTTGCTCCTCCCCGATTGCCCTTGAGCAACAGTCTCACAGATATTGAGCGCGCATCAAGCCAAAGTTCTCGTTTGCTCTTGGTTCTGCCCTACCACTGCAGGAGCTCAGTCAGTCTTGCTCCATTATACAAACAATGCTTAAGTTTTCCACACGCACACACACATTATGATTCCAAATCAACACCTGATCGGTGGGGGGACTTCTCTACTCACACACATCACAACACACGCACTATGTGATCCAACCCCGCGCAAGCACACATCAGCTCTCTACCCGCCACAACGTGAAATGAATGCACTGTGCGCACATCCCGCGCGTTCCACGCATCCAGCTCACCAGTCAGTTCACCTCCACACTCGCAGAA